CAATGGGCGTCATCCGATGTCACAGAGGAAACACTCAAGGAGATGCTAGCGCATGGGGTATACTCATGAGATTGTGGTTTTCACCCATTTCTTCTACGGCGACTTTGCTCTTCCAACCACTAAGTTCTTTAGGGGAATCCTTGAATTTTACGGGATTAATATTTATCATCTCAACCCCAACTCCATTGTTCACATTGCAAATTTTGTTCATCTTTTTGAAGCTTTTCTAGGCATTCGGCCACACTTCGCCTTGATTCGCCGAATCTTCTTCTTGAAGCCCCAACCTAACAAAAATAAGCCTTGCATCGTTGGGGGATCTAGCTTTCAGCTTCGTGGCACCCTATGCCAGAAGTATTTTACTCTTCCTTTTAAAACCTCCAACAAGGGCTGGCATGCTAGCTGGTTTTACATCCAGAACCTAGATCCTGCCTTACCTGAATATTCATGTTGCCCACACAAATACCAAGATATATGGAATTCCCTTCCTATGGGCGAGGAATCTGCTCAAGCCCTTGAATTACTGGATAGACTACTGAAGTTGAAGGAACAAGGTCTTCAGGGAGAGCAAATCACTCAGCATTTTATAAAATGCCGACTGGCTCTTATTAAAGAGTGGTCTCGCACGGCCTTTGAATATGATGGAAAGAATGACCCGAACCGAGAAGACCCCGACTCCATCGAATACAAGATCATGAAGGAGAGGATGTATAAAGTCTTCTCATATGGTATTGTGCTCAGCTTCTCACATCTTCTTCTAGTCGTGCCATACAACGCCTTTAATCCTCCCCCAGCGGTAAGCAGCTGAATGCTTGATTCTTTGTCATGTTTGTTGTTCCTGGAAATAAACTCAAAATTGTTGTTCCTTAGGAAAATGCTTTGATGAAATCCGATCCTCCGACTGCTCAACGTCGTTCTCCTTGGCGACAACAAAGCCAGGCTACCGGGGGCCCAAAAATCCAGCTCGATGCCCGAGGAAGCACTGCCGGCCCGACTGGTCAAACAGGTTCTCGAAAGAGGAAGATGATCTTAAGCGATGATGATGACAGTGACCATGAGTCAGCCGGCAAACAACCTAAAAGGGCTGCTCCCGCGAAGAAGAAGAAGACATCCAGCGCCCAATGCCGAAGATCCAAAGGTCTTTCAGGTATAAACTTGTCATAATATTCATAATCATGTTTACTGAAATCAATTAATAATATCATCTTGTACATCTGGAAACCATCGGACATTGATCCGACCGGTAAGGGCACTGACCCAGCTGCTAATTCAGAAACGGCTGGGGAAGAAAAGACTGGCTCTACTGATGCTACCGAGGCTGATACCTCCAAGGAAAAACCTCCGACTGGCAGTCAGTCGGCTACTGGTGAAGCTGATGCTGACAACGAGCCCCCAACTGGAAACCAGTCGGCATCTGCCGAGACAAGCACAAACCAAGAGCCCCTGACTGGAAACCAGCCGGGTGAAGGTACGGAGGACCCTCAGCAGCCACATTGGGATGAGGATAAAGATATCCCTGAGACAGAGGAGCATGCAAGCAGTCCTCCTTTGAATCAAAATATAGATGCTGGACCTGAAGCCAGCACTTTTGACAAAGTAGAAGGACCTGCGTGGCCACCACCAAAAATTATCACAGGTAATGCCCTTCCTAGTAAATTTATATCAAGATAAACTCCTCTTGCTGTTTCATTGCTTTTCATATAAATGAAGGCCCAATGATTGGCGACGAAGAAGAAATTCTTCGAATTAAGTCAACTGAAGATTCTCAGGCACCTATTTTAGTTAAATGGTGGGACGACGAGATGCAGCCGCAGGGCATTGTAATTAACAAGAAGAAAGAATACGAAGAAGTGGCTTTACTGACAAAAACTCTCAACCAGGCCACTCGTCTTGTAAATGTAAGTACTCCACCTTAGTCACACTTGATCATTCATTGAACTTGTTGAGGTGAATTATAATATTGTGCAGAGAATTCATCATCGGAATGAAGCAAAAACCGCTACCCTTGAGAGACTGGTTCCTCATCTTGATACTCTGGAGGAAACTAGAGCTAAACTGCATGCAACCAAAGAAGAGGCCAGAAGAACAGAACATACGCTCAGGGATCAGATTGCCGAGCTCCAGGATGCCAACTTTGAATTCAGTGTTTCCTCGAAAGGTAAACATTATTCTTGCTCAACTTGTTCAGTCTTAATCTCAGTGACGGTATAAGCTTTGTGTGCACTGCAGTTCAAGCTGCCAAAATCTCCGAGCTGGAAAGGCGAATCAAAGTCTTAGAAAATGACAAAGCCGCTTTATCCAAGGAGAGAGATTTGGCAGTCAAAGAATTTGAAGGTAGCTCTTCTGACTAATCATAAATGGAGTTCAGCCAATTTCGTTGCAGCTAAATTCCTTGACTTGTACTGTACGCAGATCATAAGGGGAAAACAAAGGCACAGTTCAACTTCTTGATCAACAAAGTCGAAGTTGCTGAAAAAGCTAGAGACGAAGTCGCCAACACTACAACCCCAATTATTCAAGCCATGTATCTGAGCAGTAGTGGTACGAGCTCCTTAGATGTAGTAGAAATCTTTAATAAGTTAAGAACTGCTCCAGATGTGTACTTCAAGAATATCAAAGAGGCTAGGAATATGGGAGCAAGCATGGCATTGGCTATGACCAAGTCTCTGTACCCCAAAATTGATGTTGACGCCATTGACGGCTTTGCAGCAAGGACAAGTGAAGAAGATGCACTTTATCTGATTAATGATGCCTAGAAAACTGCGGAGAAAATTGCTGTAGATGTGCTGGATAGGTTTCAGAGTACTAGCCTTAGTCCTGCTGCGTGAATTGCGAGACCGTAGACGGTGAGCAACGATTCGGGGTTTGTCTTTCCGTCATACTTCTCGATACCAGTCGGTTTAAAGCCGGCCGGCCAATCCACTCGACGCAGGTCGCTTGTGAAAGCTGCCACTCCATCTTCATCATCGTCGTAGCGGTCCAGTGTACGGTGTCATTGATTGCCTCTTTCTGCTCGGCGGTGATTGATTGTGTCACGTAGGTCGACGGGCTGTCGGTGACGTGGCGATCGAGGCTGTTCAGCGCGGCGCTCTCTGTTCATGCGTTCTTCATGATCCCTGCCCTCGCGATTAGATCTTGATCCCGCTATGCTAAGGCTCGGTTGGTGATAATCTTGAGATCGGAGAGGTGGAACTCAGCTGCCAGTTGGCGTCCGGATGCTCTCCGAGTTGACAGGAACTGACGCTGCAATCATTGTCTTTGTCTGGTTGATTATGTTAAGAACATGGTTGGGTGGATCTTCTATGAGGAGGATATCCAAGAGTGTGATCGCCGCAACTGCGTTTTGTTGTGGAGTGCGAAAAACTGACGTGGCTTCAACATCTTGCTGTCCAATTAGATCTCGTGCTCGACGTCCTGATGCCAAGGCGCACTGTCGTCGCTCCTCAGCTTCCCGTGCCAATCGCTCGCGCTCCTGCTGCTCACGCTGCAGTCGGGCTTGCTCTTGGGCTTGTCGCTCTTGCTCCAGCCGAAGGCGCTCGGCTTCCTGTCGTGCACGCTGCTCAGCAGCTTCTCGTTATCGGCCATAAAAACACCGAAAAAGAGAGGAGTGCAGTTGTCTTCATAGTCTTCATCAAGGTCGTCGAAATCGTCGAGGTTGTTGAAGTCATAGTAGTAGCCGAAGTAGTCGTAGTCGAGGATCTCGGTGGGTTGACGAGAGTCGACACCGAGAGAGCTGAGGTAGCCATCTAATTCTTCCGTGGAAACTGTCCCAAGTGGTTGAAGTATCACGCCGACTTCCCTAGAGCCAGATTGAATTGAGGTCGAGGTCGGATTCAATCTGGACCTATGGGGAGAAGACGCTCTTGTAGTAAAGACAGCAGCCAAATCGTCGGGCAGCTTCATTAGGATCGATGGATAAGTCGCCTTGTCTTGATCTGGTTGTGAAGAAGTAGATGAGATCTCGTCCGAGTGGTTTGAATCCAACTCGGACAAGATAGTCTTGGAGTAGATCTCGGCCGAGTCCGGGAGGCCGAACGGGGTGGAGATGGCATCTACTCCCGACTAGTTTAAATCCAAGTCGAGAAGAGAAATCTTGCCGAAGTTGTCGGTGATGAAGTTGAGGCTACCGAATCGGTATGCCTGCCCGGGAGGGAAGGCGAAGTCATCGATGCCTGAAACGGATCCCATCGCGCTTGTCGATGAAAAGCTTGACGCAACCCCTACCTGGCGTGCCTGGCGTGCCAACTGTCGAAACAATATTTCGGCAATACTAAAAGAGGGTGGCTACCCGATCAAAAAAAAGAGGGTGGCTATCAAGCAGGAAAAGTGGATGGGTTAGGAGACATAAGGTTTATACAAGTTCAGGCCTTCTCGATGAGAAGTAATACCCTACTCCTGTATGATCTAGATGAAAAGTTATTCCCCTAGAGGCACCCGGACCCCTCCTTATATAGGGGAAGGAGCCGGGATTACAAGATACAATCCATGTCACTCGGACCCCTCCTTATATAGGGGAAGGAGCCGGGATTACAAGATACAATCCATGTTCCTTACGGACTAGGTATGTAGAGATAAATTACAATCGCAACCGACTAGGACTTCCGGATATTTCCTTGGTATATAAGTTAATATAACAACTGATTCCTTTACTAAATATATTCTATCCATATATGGAACCCTAGGGATGAAAACGGTCGGAAATGGTCGGAAACGGTACAGTATTTTATTTTTTTTTTGAAAACGAACGGAAACGGTAAGGAAATTTCCATATTTAGGAATTTATCTATTTAGTGCCAACTTCAATGCAACGCTAACAGAAATTAAAAAAAAAACTACATTTTGAAAACGGTAACATCGGTAAAAAAATATTATTATTATATTAGTTTTGCGGAAACGGTATCGGTACAGTCGGGAACTTTCCATACCATTTTCACCCCAACCCCATACCCAGTCGGATATACATGCCGTGTGGGTATGGGATATCAATAATCTCTACAGCGTTGTAAGGTTAATTTGCCCATTTCTTAGGTGCTTTTCTGCAATATGGTAATTCTTCATGTTAACTTCCCCTCTGACATACACAGTGCGCCCTTACTTTAAATAAAGTACATGAGTCTAAAAAAAAGCAGGGCCATTTGGGCCAATATTTCTACAACTGAATAACAAAGCATTTTAGAACCATCTAGAAGAGAAGTGAGTAAATCTATGATTTGACGTATGCCTCCTTAGCAATGGAGCGAAGGAAGCACAAAAGTTGTTTCTTTGCTCCCAAAAGCTTCATGGTAGATTCCTCTTCATGTTCATTTTCTATATTATCTTGGACCATGTGGACTGTCCTCACGAGCTTCCGCAGTTCCTGTTAACATAACATCAGTTAATTTCTTCAACTAATATATACTCCCTCCATTCTCCAAAATATAAGAGATTTTGGGTTGATGTGACATATCCTAGTACTATGAATCTGGACAGGTTCGCTGTACAGATTTGTAGTGTTAGAATGTGTCACATCCATCTAGAATCCCTTATATTTTGGGACAGATAGAGTATATAGTGTGGATGGTACATATATAAGGTTGAGCATTCAATGTTTAACATGAATGCAATAGGGCTTATTAACACAGCCGTGAAACATTACATATATAACCACCTGCTCCTTGATTGCTCTTAAGGTTTAATATGTACTGAAGAGAAATCTAAGATGCAGTGGCTTATTATTAGCAGGCACTGAAAAATTATCAATTAGGCAATTCAGAAAAAGAAAACAAAAAGGATGGCCTGATCTCTTTTATTTTAGTCAGTTTGTGTTGGTACTAATTCAGTTTACTGATCTCCTTTACAACTATGCAATTGCCTTCCACTAACTAGCAGACCTATGGCTGCCCTACAATGGGGTTCCAACTTGCTACATTCCAGTGAAGCTTTTCTAGATATTACAGGCAAAATTTTAGTTTATTTAGAAAACACCAATTATGCATGTATTCTAAAAAAAACACTATTAAGGTGATTATACAAGAGTATTATGTGATGCCAAACGGATCATCACCATCTTATCTAACTGTTGACTAAGCAAATATCTTATATGTCGAGTAAAATAGTACAATGAAAAGTTTAAACAAGTGTAGAGAATACCTGACGATCAAACTCAACATTATGTATCGCATAAATTTCATTAGTAACTGAAATGTCTTTGGAAAGGAGGCCCTCAAACCATCTATCTGCAATTTCAATATGCTCTTTGTCACCCTGTTCAAAATTTCAAATCGTTAGCATGTAATATTAAACTATAGCAAAGAAGTCTATTTCTAGTCGCTCCACTTTCGAAGTGGTCTTGTTTTTTGACCAGAACTATAAAAAAGGATAAAACTCATCCCAATACCAAAACCAAAGAGAATGTCCCTGCTTCCTCAAAAAAACTCACTTGGTTTTAACCAATTAGGCATCTACTAGTACTCCCTCTGTCCCATTTTTGTCCCATTTTAAGTGCAGTCATGAGTTTATGTATCCAAGTGTCCAACGTTTGATCATCTATTTTATTTGAAAATTTTATGAACTTTTTTTTAAAAAAAAGTCCTACATAAAGTACTATTCATGCTTTATCATCTAATAACAATAAAATTACTAATCATAAAATAATTTCAAATAAAACGGACGGTCAAATGTTGAATACAAAAACCCACAGCTGCGCTTAAAATGGGACTGAGGGAGTATCTAACTATGCTCTTGTGTTTCCAGGACAGCAATGGAATCCTATCAGTCAGCCTCCTTTTCCTTCTCAGTGTTCTTTCTGCTGTTCTTAATCTAGTTGGCCAATACGCCACTAAAAGGGACATCATCCATACCAAGGAGATGTGCCCTGCTACTCAATTCATACAGCTGATAGAAGCAAGACCTGTGACACTTGTCACATGCCTTAACCACAATAGGACGCGATGCTGCTCTAAAGTGACGATCACTTCCCTGCAATTGGAGAACCTACAAGATCAGGTGGCACAGATAGAGCAGAACTGCTGTGCAATGCTGCATACAAGGCAAACCAAAACCGCTTGGAGATCCTCCTACTGCACAGTGCCATCAAATTATCAGGTTTCCTATGGAATCCATCCTATCGGTGTCAGGGTGGCATGGTCGCATCAGTATTGTATGGATTTTATTTTGGGTCCGGTTCAGCTGAAACGATGTGAAATGCGCATCACAAAGAATGAGGAGATTGTTGAAGTCCTGTCCAACTTCCTAGAGTGAGCTTGCCTGGACATAGTGGGACCACACAATCTGGGCCTGCCATGGCTAGATCTGGGCGTCCTAACTGGTCACTTGGGCAAGGAAGAACAGGATGCTTGCTGAAGATAGCAAGAGCAAGAAAGAGGAACGAGCAAGAAACAGTGAGTTAGGTTAACCATATAAGTAGGATCCAAGGTGGACTCATGTGATACAAAACAAGGTTTATTGGTTAGACGGACATGTTTTTCTTGGTTTTCAGATTTGAGGGACGAAATTTAGCTGGTTTTGGAACTGAGGCACAAAAATAAACAGGTCTAAAGTTGAGGGACAAGAAATAAGATGCACCTCTTCTTCATTGCAAGGCAAGTCCTCTATTTCCTCATCTTCCATCAAGAATGTATTTTCACTCATTAATGCAAGTAACCTGTTATCATCGCCATCCTTCGAATACTGGATTAGAGTGTCCATCAATTCGGGTTGTGCACCACGCAGAAGTCTTCCTGAAAGAAATAATAACATAAAATAAATATCAAATATATGAATCCAAGGGTTACTTGATCTAGGTGAATACATGAATGCAAAAACATAACATTCAGAAAAGGTTGGTTCTTTACAGAGTTTCCCTTTTTGAAGAAGTCTGGAGCTTATTACTATGGGCCTACATGCATGTGAGTTTGGAGATAGGAAGACCTAAGGCATTGAGTTAGAGTAATTGAAGAGATGTTCTCAAGCCCAAGCTTTGGTGATGAAATCTGCAACATCAAGCTTGGATGGCACATATTGAGATCAATAGTAAACTCTTGACTTAGACATTACAAACAATGCACCAACAGCAATTTCCTTCAATTGCTCAAGCTTAGATGGATCGCTAGTAGTCCAAATGACACAAGTGCTGCCATAGAATAAAGGTTTCAGCCTAAGCACTAGAGCAGGGAAGACGTGGCCTTCTAGGCAATCAGTGACGCTAGAAAAATGCAAAAGCCGATCAATAGGATATTATATCATCACTAACCCAAATATAGTGTGGCAGTCTGAATGATATGATGATGCTAGAACCTATCCCGTTGTTTCTTTTCGACGACAACCTTATATCGTAAAAATCATATTATTTGTAGGCAAATCAATATCAAGTTCAATGAAATCCCTTTGCTTAGGTACAATTTGACATGTTGAAATTTCAGAAAGCAGAAGCACCATTTTTAGGGGCTAATGCAATAACAAGAACCAGGTTTAGTGGACTTTTAATTTAAACACCATGGTTTGGAACTAACATAACACAGAACACCTTTTAGCAGCTGCCAAAAAGACCATGCAGACTACGGGCCTGTTTGGCACAACTCCAGCTCCAGCTCCACCCCTCCTAGAGCTGGAGCTCAGCCAAATAGTTTCAACTCCACTAAAAATGGGAGTGGAGCTGGGTGGGGCTCTCTCACAAAATAAACTACAGTTGTGGAGCTGGGTTTAGGTAGCTCCACAACTCCACTCCAGACCCAACTCATGGAGCTAAATGTAGGAGTTGGACTGTACCAAACAAGCCCTATAAAAGACTAGCTTGGTTGTTTTGGAGGACATCGGCAAGTCACCTTCCTGGAATCAAGAGTGGTGCTTATTCTTGAGGAAATTTCTGGTTTTTGGCTTCCTGGAATCAAGAGTGGTGCTTATTTTCTTGATTTTCCTTCAGTTTATAAGAGACCAGCTTGGTTGTTTTGGTGGGAGTTTTTTGTAAGACTTGCTATTTAATTTGTTGGTTGATTGCTGTGAATAGCAGGAGCTGAACTTGAGAGCAGTCAGAGAAAAAGCTCATATGTGCAGCCTGGTCATGACAACTTCCAATGCTAGGATGATAATATCAGCAAGGATATTTAAAAAAAAAAGGAAGTCCTATTCAAGAATAAGTTCTTGTGTATTCAGAAACTCAGGATAAGTATAATTTGACCAAAGAATGTGTGCATGTCCTTATGCCAAAACCTGAGCATGTGTAAAAGGCTGGTTATTTGGCAACAGTCTGAGCACATATATTTTTAGTTATATTTTTAACAATCTTTCTAAAATAATGATGTTAGTAGTCGCAGTGTCCATCCCCACACCACCCCTACTACTGACATCTGGGGGCCCACAATTTATACTATTTACACCACTTTTCAACATGTCCTCCATTTCACTATTGGCTCCCCCAAATTTTAAAAATCACCTACTCGTTCAATAAGAAAAATTACTAGAACTAAATAAATGCTTATTAATTGATTAAATAAGCTATAAATTCAATTTGTTTTCTGTTGCAACACCCGGTGTCCAAGTCAGTACTGTTGCAAAAGCACTAAAGAAATCACTCCCTAATATCATAGGACATTAATGCAGTACACAGCAAATATAGATCAAGCAGTGTACAAAAGCACTTGAGATCTGAAACAAACCATCAAATAAATTTGATCCCTTTTAGACTTCGGACATATTAGGGGAAAGTTTGGTTTTGCCACTAACGAATGTCCATTCTCATATATGCCACTAATTTTTCCAACTTACACTACCAGAAGACATTACATATGTATTACAAGATGACAAAATCTCATAAATAATTCATTTAAAAAAGATAACAATGTCTAGTTGGCAACTAAAAGAATGGATGGGAATAACTGTAGCATCAACGAAAGAAGTAAGGGTTAATTGGATCTATGCCACTGCAAATATGACAATTAGAAAAAATACCACTACTATTCAGCATATCGGCTACCCTGAGTTATTGTTCACTGACTATATCTTAGACCATTGCGATCTCTTTCTTTCACTTGGTAGGCATTTCTTCCCGTTATCGGGACTTGCACTTGCCCGGCCTTAGTGGTTTTTTAATGATTTTCTTCCCCAGCAAATCAAGTAAATAGAAGTAATAATTCAAGTCCCTCCACAAAGGTAGAAGATCTTGATTCTCTGCAATTCGGCTTCAACCCGATGGAGCTCTCTTCAAAACATATCTTTCGGCGTTAGTCTTTCTGTTTGTTTGGAGGTTGTAAAGAAGATAAGTTGACTCAGGCTATTTCTTCAGCTTAGAACTATAAACTTGAGGTACCCAGTTTTGAACTACCGCAGACTTGTTTCATAGCTTTCAACTGAGCGGCAGACCCGACGCGACTGACGGATAAGCCAACGTTAATAGCAGGTCTAATTCCGCGATAAAAGAGCTCTGTTTCCAAACAGATTTGTCCATCTGTAATGGAGATCACATTGGTGGGGATATAGGTCGCCTCGGGGAATACCACCAGTAGAGTCTGCAGAAGGTGTCGTTCAGGCCATCGGCTGTGGTTCAGAAGTGGGCTCGACCTGCTTTGGGATGGATGAAACTGAACACTGATGGAGCACTGAACTTGCAGGATGGAGTTGCGGGTGCAGGAATTGTTGCACGTTCGTTTGTCGTTGGGGATTCATTGCTCGTTCTGCGGTTATAAGTAACGTAGCCAGCCAAATTTCTAGGACCTATATCATTACCAACTCCAGACATCACAGTTTTTCCAAAAATATGGACCTGAAGACTGGCTTCTCCGACCTTCCACCCGATCCTGGGCGATCCCTTATCGCCACTAGAAATTTGAAAATTTTGAACCGTGCCACTCCATCACGTTTTCCGTCACCCTCCTGGACGTGGGACCCACATGTCAGTTCTATCTTCCTCCATTATTCCTCTTCTTTCTTCCCCATCTCTTCCTTCATCCCCGAGATGGGAGCACCGGTGGTGGTGAATGCAGAGGAGCTCGCGGGGGCGCCGGTGGGAGCGCCGGTCGGTGCAGACTGCAGAGGCGGTGGGGGTGACCGCAGACGAGGCAAGGGCGGAGGGAGCATTGGTGTCTGGGGCATCAGTGGGCGGAGTCGGAGGAGACTGCTGCCATTTCTGTACATTCAATGTACTCTACTGATAGAGGAATACATAAAGTTGAACATAATAAAATAAGAAATTGAAAGATTTCGTTGAAATTGTTCGTTTGGAAATTTCCCGAAAAGCTAATTATAGGTTCTTCTCTCCATTGGAACAATAGGGCCGTTATGCTTATTACTAAACTTGTTGAAGAGATGAAATAGAACCAAGGTCTATCTTTTTGATCAGAGGTTAAATCGATCATCAGAATTAGGCCAAAAATTAGGATACATTCTGGGAAAATGAAACTTCCCTGGAAGAGAAGCAATCCTTTTTTTTTTTTGTCTGAATATTCAGTTAAGACCATTCCAAGGCTCCTTTTCGCCATGCATAAACTAAACCAACAACTAGGATAAGCACGAAAATGAAAGCTTCGATAAAAACGGATATACCCAATACGTCGAAACTCATTGCCCAAGGGTAGAGAAAGACCGTTTCCACATCAAAAACAACAAAAACTAGCGCAAACATGTAATAGCGTATTCGGAATTGTAACCAAGCCCCCCCCCCCCATGGGTTCTATACCCGATTCATAACTAGAAAGCTTCTCTGGTCCTTCACAAACCGGAGCTTAAAAGTGCTGAAATCCAAAATGCTAAAATAGGAATAAGGCTTGCTATTATTAGAAATGCCCAAAAAATATCATATTCGTGAAGCAGAAACATAAATGTACTCCCATTAATGTGGAATAGTTGGAACTGAATTAGTCAATTCAAGTCAGCATTGTCAATTTATACAGAATTTCTCTCTTTTCCTCGGTGAAACAAGGATCGGTTTTTCTCAAACCAAAGGGCTTAGTTTAGCCCACCATGCCGACGAGGTCCCCGATCGTTATTGTGACGGCTGCTTGTCCACCATGCCGACTGATGCAGTGTTGCTTGTCCCATCAAGCCAAAAATGACGATGGACTGAGACCTCGCCACTATCACGATGAGCTTTTGCCACCGCCACCGAAATTGCTCGTGCCGCGACTACTGTTGCTTGCTCTGCCATTGTTGTGACTGTTGCACCATGGACTCTTGTCCTTTGCCGGGATGGAGGAAGCGGTGGCCGGGGACCTCGTCGGGGGAGCAGGCAGCGGGGCCATCTTGGGTGCCGGGATGGGGGCCGCTCCCGGGGCCTGCACAGCGGCCGTGACGGCGAGGAGGGTGACGATGATGGCGACGACGGCGAAGCGAGCCATCAGAGCAGCGTACTAGCGATGGATTAATTGAGGAGAGGGTCCTTGCTGATAGCGCACCCCTCTAGCTGCCGCTGCCTTAGCCGCGCATCATGGAGGTCCTCGGCAACGGTGGCGAGGATGGGTACTCAGTCGTCGGTGATGCCTCCTCCACCACCACCTCCTCCTCCCTTGAACGGTGACAGAGACCGCGTGGCTCACCAGCTCCGAGACGAGGTGCTCGACAACAACGACAACGCAGGCGCAGCCTGGCCCGACCTCTCTGAGACAACGATGGAGACGACGGAGACGACACCTCCTGCCGCATCTACGGTGGTGGAGAGAGAGGAAGAGGAAAGAGAAGAGAGGGAAGGGAGGTGGGGGCCCACGTGCAGCTGGGGGCTAATAAAGATTTTTGACGGAAAACGTGATGGAGTGGCATGGATCCAATTTCCACAATTTTCAGTGCCACGTAGCCGATATACTGAATAGTAGTGACATTTTTTTGAATTGACATATTTGCAGTGGCATGGATCCAATTAACCCAGTAAGTAAAGATACCGATATAGTTGAACTGCCTCCTTTTTCCTTCCCGCACATCTGATCCAAATCTCTACAAAACAAGAAAACAGACAAAAACGTGATTTGCAATCAAATATACAAGCTATTACAAGAACAACGGATATACAAGCTATTACCAGAACAAAGGATGTACCTTCACGAGCATGAGAGCGTCGAACACCTCGCGATCTAGCGACGCAGCCCTGAGAAACAAGAATCACATACTAGGTGCCCTCCAACGAAGAAGTACTACCAAGAATCGGATGTGAAGGTAGGCTGGATAGGCACCTGAGGATGCGCTTGATCTGGAGAGGGGAGAACTTAGCGAGGTCCATACCCCACTGCACGGCGCGACGAGCCTCCCGCTTCAGGTCGTTGCGGCTCTTCCTGAGGGCCTCGCCGGCGCCGTCTCCGGCATTCGAATCGTCCGAGTCTTCGACATCGGAGGGCAAAGGGCCCGCGGGGCGGAGGGCGCGCGGTAGAGATAGGCGGTGCGAGGAGGACGCGAGGGAGGAGAAGAGACAGCTCGGGTTGAGGGAGGGAAGGAGCGAACGCCGCAGCGGCGCGGCCGCGGCGGCAACGGCGGCGGACGCCATAGGGTAGGGTGGTGAGGACTGCTGATTTTCTGCGGTTTTGGACGGGTTGGTAGTGGGCTTATCTACTTGGTAGAAGGCCTACGACGGGGGAAATAAGTTCATCCGAGGTCCCTCAACTTGTCAACAAATCCGACTTTCGTCCTTCTACCGAAAAACCAGATACAACAGGTCCCTCAACTATCAAAACCAGTGCAAACCAGGTCCATTGGCGGTTTGGAAGGCGGTTTTGGCTGACGTGGCGCCAACGTGGCTAGTTTAACTTAGTCTTTGTCCCACGTGGCATTTGACGTGGAGCTTATGTGGCAATTTGAATCCAAAAATAATAAACCCGTGGCCCCACATATCAGCAACAAACACAAAATAATTAAAAATGGTGGGGCTCACGTGGGCCCCATATGTCAGCCTCACCTCCCTTCTTCCCTATCCCCTCTCTCTTTCCTCTCTCTTCTTCCCTCTCCCTTTTCTTCAACTTCCCTTCCCGGCTTCCCGCAGGCGAGCGAGGAGGCGCCCTCGGCGACCTCGCGCGCCACCGTCGCACTCCACCTTCAAGCCGCCGCGTTCCTCCGGTGGTCAATCCCCATCGGCGAGGTCCCCGTCATGCAGTGACTCATCAAGGCGGCAAGCAACGTCGTCACAGGTCCTCGTCGTCGCCGGTCACCTACCAGCCGCTCGACCCCTGGCTCCAATCCTCCGCCGCCCCATCATCACCTCCCTCTCCCGCATCCTCCCCACCTCCACCTTCCTCCTACCCAGTCAGGCCGTCATGGCTGGGGGCTCGGCGGCAAGTGAGGACGACATGTCAGAGCTGGGCAGCCTGGGCTAGGAGATACAGCGGCGTTGGGCGTCGTAGTGGCGGCGACCGGCGTGAGCGTCGGGGTGGCGGCAGCCTTGGGCGCGGGCACCGGCGTGACAATCTTGGGGGCCAACGCAACTAGTGGCGGCGTCAAGGAGGGCGTCGGCGGCGCGCGGGGCCACAGGGCGCAAGCGGCACCGTGGAGGAGGGCGTCGGCGTCGGGTGCCCTTGATCTGGTTGGGCGCCAACTTCCAGAAGCGGACGGTGAGCACGCCGTTGTCGAGGGAGGTGGCAATGGAGTCGAGGTCGGCCGCCGCCCACATGACAAAAAGGGAAGGGAGAGAGGACAAAGGAGTAGAGAGCGGTTGCCGCCGCTCCACCCGTCCCGCTCCGCACCGCCGGCCTACTCTGCCCGCCGCCGCTGCTTCGGCCTCACGCCCCGTTCCGCTGCCAGCTGTCCAGCCCCGCCGCTCCGTCCTTCGCCGCCCACATGCCGAAAAGGGGAAGGGAGCGATGAGTCGGGAGCGGTCGCTGGTCGCCGCCGCTCAACCCGTCGCCCGCTCCGGCCACCCCGCTCCGCTTTGTAGCTTGCTCTGGCGGTCGGAGCTGCCGTCCGCTCAGCTCCGGTCGCCGCCTGCCTTTGCTGTGAGCCTCTGACTCCAGCGAGAGGAGAAAGAGAGATATTGAGGATGACGTATGGGGCCAATGGGCCCCACCATTTATTATTATTGTTGTGCGTAGCTGACATGTGGGCCCTATGAGCTTTTTCTAGATCTAATTGCCACGTAAGCGCCATGTCAATGCCACGTCAGTCAAAACCAGAGACCAATACTGCCGAGGGATCTCATTTGCATGGTTTTGTAAGATGAGGGATGTTTTGTATCTGGTTTTGCGGACTGAGGACAAAAATCAGATTGGGCGACAAATTGAGGGACCTAGAGTGAACTTATTCCACGACGGGGGCACTGGTAGTTCCGACCGTTTAGCAAAAAGTTCACTTTGTGTCCTTCGACGGGTTGGGTTTTGTCCGCGTACCTCAACCGTAAAACCAAATATACAAATCCCAACTTGATGCACATGCACGTGGAGTGGGTCGGGGTCGACCCATCTACCAATTGACCCAGCTCATATAACATATGGGGGACTGCTTAGGAATCTTCACAGGAACCGTGCAGTAACAGAATGATCATCGTGTAATAATAGGATCAATTCCTTGCAGTAACGTCATTAGAATATAGTGATAACGAATTTAGTTTTGTAAAGTTCTTTTTTAAAAGCATTATGGTGCGTATGGTTCGAAAATTTAATATGTGATGTGAGAGATATCATTATTTAAATATTTGAATTCCAAACGGATCTACTTAGCTTGCTACCATGTATATTTGTGTGCAAAGAGAAGTACTTTTAGCACTTGTGTCAATTTGTGGCCATGCATCTCTAATAGTACTATAATATCACAAGTACATGATTACCATTTTTAAAATTTAGTTCTTGACAAACGATAGTTTTAGTTTTATAGCAGTACCGTTACTAATAATATTACGATTTCACGATGATGTTACTGCCAAAAATATGTTCTGCAGTAACATGACATATTACCGCACTTCTACGACGTTAATAAATATTGTAACGACGTTAAAATATATTCATGATAGATCTAGTTTTGTTAGATTTTTTTTTACGAACATTGTGGTGCGAATGGTCAAGAAAAACAATATATAATGATAGTTTTCTCTTAAGATTGCAAATTTCAAATTTTAGCTCTACATAAGCAGAAGTACAATAGCAGTATTATTTCCACCATATGTTCTCTGCTACTGCCATTTCTATCCTGATGTTACTAAAAATCTGCAGTAAGAACGTATTTTCTATAGTTACTACACTTCCGTGATATATATGTTCTCAATGTTACTGCACTCCCTCATCGCCATCCTTCATATCCGTCGGACCTGCATATTCTCAGTGTCCTCGTCGCCGCCGTCCAGCCCTCATGTAGCCGGAGGAGCTTGTGGTCGCTTTCTCCCGTAGCCTCACCAATTTATGCCGGAAATCTCCTCGATTATTGATGCTACTGTGCATCCGGAAAAAACTGAGTAAGGAAGAGAGGAATGGTAGGATACGGTCAGACGAATGCTTATGGACGGTATAAACACTCACACCAAGGCTCTGTTCACAAGTTTAGGTTACCAATCCAATCAGTATTTACGGAAAATGGATAGTGCTCGTATAGCAGTAAAAAAAAGTTACTATAGTAGCACGCTGGATTATAGATGCTACTTAACTAGGTGACATGCAGGGTGTCATGTAGCAATTATATATATAACTTAACCGCTCCCCTCGTGTACCCTCCTCCCCCCACCCCATCCCACCCCCAAGTTTTTCCTTTTTTTTCTTCAACCGTCCGTGCTCCTTCCGTTCCCTCTTTTTTTTTTCTCGTGCACTCGTGTTGTCTTGCTTCCCTCACATAACCATTGATAAAACAAATATATTAACAGTTTACTTTCGTGTTGTTTTGCTTCGCTCACATAACCATTGATAAAAAAATTATTAACAGATTACTTCTGCACCCAACCAACCTTCATTTAGTAAATGAATTATTGGATTTTAGTTACGTTGGAGGCTCTGTCAGAAAATCAGTTACTTGCAAATATATCATTTGATTAGTTCCTTAATATTAGTAATGATTTTACTATTTAGTTAAATAAACCCTTCTACTTTAGTAATATTTTTATTACCTAGTCACCTGTAATAATATCTTTATTTTTTTAAGTTATTTTCAGTAGCTCGGTGCCTTATTTGTCGTAGTACTACCAAGTGTTCTTTTTATTTTTAATGCTATGTATCGATCTATTAGTATTTTTTTCACGAACGCTTATTAGCGCATAGTAAATGTTTTATTGGACAATGACATGAGAAGAGTATTTTTCTTTTTCCAAATTAGCCTCCACAGCATGAATACAATATTACAGTGTGAGTAAACATTTTACTCCATGAAAATTGTAGGCTGGTTATATACTCCATAAACATGATAATTTGCCAGTGGAGACCGTGTCGATTAAAATAATAATTTTCGGTTGAAGAGGAGAGAGAAATCATGTGAAAGTTCTAAAAAGCCCTTGGGCCCACATGTCATATCTTCCATCTCTCTTCCACCAGGAGCGCCGTTGTCCACAAAGTGGAGCGTCGGGAGTCGTGCAGCGGCGGTGGTGGAGTGCAACAACCGGGAGTGCTCGGAGACGTGCGGCGGCGACAGTGGCGGAAGCGGTGGCGGCGGTGACGGTCCCGGTTGCGGGGGCGGCGACGCCGACGATGACCACGACAACGCGCAGCGATGGTGGCTACGGCAACTAGCGGCGCGGCGGTGAGTACGCCTTCACCGCGTGGGGTGGCGGTGGCGGAGGGTGAGGACTACGACTGGGAGGCGGCGGTGGACGGCCCCGAGATCAAGATCCTGGCGTGCGGCGGCGACAGTGGTGGCGGCGGCGGCAGTGGCGGCAGTGGCGCTGCGTGCAGGTGACGGCCACAGTCGGCCATGGCGGCCGCGTCAGCATGGCGACGGCGAATGTGGCAGCGGCGGCGGCGACGACGACGGAGCGAAGACGGACGACGGTGGCAGCCGGCCGAAGGAGATCGTGAGAGATCAGAAAGGGGGGAGAGGTTGTGATGGGGATTGACCAGAGATGAAAGAGCTGGCATATGGCCCAAGGGCATTTTTGACATTTCACATGATTTCTCTCTCCTCTTCAACCGGAAAATATTATTTTAATCGACGCAGTGTCCACCGGCAAATTATCATGTTTATAGAGTGTTTTCCCCCAAAAGTGAGTTTAGGCGGTGTCCTAGGGCTAAAATCACACAATAGCAGTGTCCTGTAGCAAAATTTGCGATAACAATTACAAACAGGAGACAGACGTACACATATTCATTTTGATAAAAAAAATCAAGAAAATTGCAACCAACATGAGACACTGCAAGAGCCATATATGTTCTGTCATCAGTGATCTCATTGAGTGTTGCTGTTGAATCCTTATACCTGAGATTATCATGGTTATCAACATGTGTAGTAGCTTACTTAGGGACTGCTAAACGCTACTCCGTAATTGGGTAGTTATAAAAGTAGTTTTCGGGTATGATATGAAACATGTAGTGGGATATGAATAATCAAGATGGGATTTGCCCCTCCTATGGAGAGATATCTCTGAGCCCCTCGATGTTGTAGATTATAGAAGTGCATGGCCATGCCAAAGGTGATTGAGGAGTCAATCACAAGTTATATAATCTATCAACAGGTTCGAGTGAATGATTGAGCTATTAGAGGATGGCACATATCTAACCTTGAGCTTAATCGATATTGTGAGACAAAGGGGTTCATACAAGTATACACTAGAGGTTCAGCCGATATGATCTTTATGTATGCTCGGTGGGTCAATACGTTCTGCTAGGGGCCGCTGTTGACGCGTGGACTGAAAAGGAGTTTTCGGGTTACAGCCGAGTATATATGAACCTACAGGGTCGCACGCTTAATGGGCCGGAATAAAGGGATTGGATAGAGATCTAATATGAGCTTAATTCGGATAGGGATCCGAATAGGAGTCCTACGGGCCTTAGAGGCCCAAGTGATAGATCCTATATATTCGTGAGGGGTGTGACCGGCGGAGGCATTACATCACGTGAGAAACCCTAGCCGTCACTTCCCTCCCCAAGAAAAGCCCTAGCCGCGCGCGGGTGCTAGCACATCTGCACGTGGCGTTCCGTCCCTGTATGTGTGGACACCGGTAGAGGCGCCGCTGGTTTGCGGTGATGATCGGCGTGGGAGTACGGCGAGGAGAACGCACGAGGAGGAGAAGGTCGAGTCGGTGCGATCGACTACTTCCTCTACATCGACGTGCACTACTTCGCGAGAGTTCCTTCGACTTCCCAGGGTCTTCTTCCGCTGCACAGCGCGTCGAATGGTAACGATATATGATCTAATACTTGCATGGTTCCTGGTTTACGCGATAGAAAATTTTGATTTATGCTATCGTAGCCTACGCGTATCCCAACAGATATTGGCAGTTGTCCGAACATTAGACACGTGAATGAGTGAACAAATGAAAATTCAGATGGGAGCATATTTCTGAGAATACTGCACACATGCAAAATTGCAAATGGCATATTTCTAATTGACATTTAGAGCATGATGTCTATAAGCACCATAATTTTCGTAACGTTTCAGAGCTTTTGACACAACTGTAAGTATCAAATTGTCCAGCCGATCAAACTAAAAAAATATGAAAAGGGCTGCACATGCAAATCGAGAGAACATGACACTCAGGGCTCTGAATATAATTTCTCTGAACGAAAATTCTCGGTCCATCTTTTATTCCGCTGAGGACGCAGAAATCAAGTGGGTGCGTACCTCTCGTCACCGTCAGGTATTGTAGATCGTATCTGTCCCGCACCTTGTGCTCAAGTGTATCCGCTTCCTTGCTGCGACCATGTCGGCGAGAAGGTGCTGCAGAGAGGCGTGAGTCGTGACACAGGGCACAACAGGGTATTTTGCGCATTTCACCATCGTACAGTAAAAATATTAGAAAAAGACAATCACAAATAAAAAGACAATGGAAAAAAATCTACTGATATGAGCCCAGCCCCTTGCACAGGCTAATTACATAATTGCTGTTAGTTCCTTTAACTAACTAGAGTGCATCGCCACTGGAAAAGCATCTGAATCAGACCGCCCACCTACAGTTCAGTTCATGCATTTCAGGCCAGATTAAGGACGGCGAACAAGACAGCATTCCTGTGGCGCCATCACCACTGGCATCCATTAGGACCTCGATCACTTAACTGTATGCAATATATCCTCCTGTTCCTTTTCCCAGCTTCCTGAACATAATAAAGTGAATTCACGAATCAAAAGAAAATTCAGATGGGAGCAAAGAAGGGGGTGCTGATTGCATCGTGAAAACAACACTATCAATAGACCTGATCATGCAACCATGGTTTTGATCACTGCGAAAACCATGGGCGTGAAAGAAGTGTAGAAAAGAAAGAAGAACTGGAGAAAGGGAGCAGAACATATCGAAGCTGGAGGTGATGCCGGGCGAATGGAATCGCTCATGGTGTTGTTTGTCTAGAACTTGCACACAAGCAACTACACAGCACCAACAAGCGTTATCAAAATGAGGAAAAAGGGCTTGAGCAAGGTGACCTTGTCCTCGGTGAACATGGAACGGGGAAGGAGTATCTTGAAGGATTCGGCATCCACCAAGAACCGACATGGCGCTGCATCAATAAAACGAGAACCTCCCAGGCGGCCATTAGTTCAGATGTGAGGAAGGAAGGAGGTGCAAGCTGACCACATGATTAAGATCTAGTCCACCACCATCGATACCAAGAACGCCTCGCTGCCTCGACCATGCCGGCGGCGACGCCTGGATCCGGCGGCGGGGGATCACAGGCACGCGATGAGGTGGTCGCCCCCCTGCCGCGCCGCCGCCTAGGCTGCCGCCTCCTGTTCGACGAAGCTGATGCCGAAGGTGGACGGCCGGGCGGACAATGGAGAGGCCTCCTGATCCAGTTGTTGCCGCTATCGCTTAGAGAGGAGCTGCATTGATGTGCGCTCGATCCGCCGCCGAGGATGTAGCCCAATCCACGTTGCCGTCGAGGTCGATGCCGCCGCTCGATCTGTTGAGGCAGACCTCCGCGTCGGCACTGCCGAGGTCCTCGTCACATCCGGCGATGAGGAGCGGAGGATGATGCAACAGGAAGGGGGCAAGGGTGGCGCCTGATGGTTGGATGGCAGCCACCGTCCTATTGCCAACTCACAACTGGACGACGCGCCGCCACACCTCCAACGCCGACAACCAGCCCGGATCTCGCCCGCCATTCGCCGATCCTAAAAAAAAGGGGTGGACAGCGACGGGAGTAGGGGGCGATGGTGGCGGCGCTGCGTGGACGGGGGAGGTGGCGGCACAAGGGGGACGCCGATGTGGACGGGGAGGGTCATCTCGGCGGCGTCGAAGCCAGCTCTACCTCAAACCCCCGCCGCTGGATCCAGGCGGAGGACGACCGCCGTCGCCGGATCGGGCGAGGGACAGCCCCGCCGAGCCCGTCGCCCGCCGTTGGCGCAGGCCATCGTCGTCGCTCGCTGCTGGCGCAGGCCGTCGCCGTCGCCCGTCGTTGGAGGAAGCTGGAGGGACCCCGCCGCCTGCCGCCCGGCACACCGAGGAGGCCCAAGCCGGCGACCGCCCGCCGCCGACCTGCAATCGCCGCTCAACCGCCTGTCGCACCCGCAGGCCTTCATCGTCGCTGCCGATCCGTAAAAAGTGGAGATGGAGGGGAAAGTGGGTGAACGGTTTCTACGAGGGAGAGGGAGGGAGTAAATATAGGCCTTGTTTGGATACTCCGGGCTATTAACTAATCCATAATTAGCGGCTCCGGGCTATTAACTAATCCATAATTAGCGGCTGATTACTATAGCATCACTGTAGCAAATTATGGATTAATATTAGATTCGTCTCGTAAAATAGCCTAGAAATTATGGAATAGGTTTTATCAGTAATCTACGTTTAATACTCTTAAATAGCAAGATTCCGAAAGCCTCCGGATCCAAACATTGCCATAGTTAGCAGATAGAGTTGATAGTAAAAAATTGACTCCGTTAAGCGTGGGAGGAGGGGATGCGGGACGGGAGGATGGGTGCACGGGAGGGGGGGTGGGGTGTATGGGGGTGGGTGTGAGGGGGAGCATTTTAGCTATTACGCATCCTAAGTCTAGTGAGTCTAGTATGTATGTATGTATGTATGTGTGTGTATATATATATATATATATATATATATATATATATATATAGAGAGAGAGAGAGAGAGAGGTGTATATACTCCCCTCGATTATCCATTAGCATCTGATAGGGCCACGGTGAGTCAGATTTTTTTAAAGAATGTATTTTCCTTGTTTTTTGTTTTAGTACACATCTGACGGAGTGCATGTGTTTCAAATTTTAAATGCACGTAACTGATCGATCTAAACACGTGGAGGCGGTGGAGCGCACGCTTCTCTGGTTCAAAATGATTATACCATATACTTATTTTTCTTCTTCAGAAAGTAGTACTAGTACTAGTATGTACTTACTTTTTGAATATCACGTCCTTTGCTAGGGAATGGTATATGCTTCTTTATCTTGTAGAAGTATATACTATTTCTTAAGAATGGTATCTCTCCTTTTTTTTTACACGGGTATTTACTGCCTTTTCTCTAATTGTATATACTAAATCCATAGTTTAAATCCATAGTTGAAGGAGTATGTACTGTTTTTTAAGTATCCGATAGGTAAGGATTTTTTAGTATTCAGTATATTAGTCGATATACTATTTTTCATCCGGTATATATATACTAAATCTCATCTCTAGCCGTATATACTAGATCATCGTTGAAGGAGTATGTACTGTTTTTTAAGTATTCGATAGGTAAGGATTTTTTAGTATTCAGTATATTAGTCGATATACTATTTTTCATCCGGTATATATATATACTAAATCTCATCTCTAGCCGTATATACTAAATCCATCGTTGAAGGAGTATGTAATGTTTTGTTTTTTTAAGCATCCGGTATGTAAGGATTTTTTTAGTATTCGGTATATTAGTCGATATACTATTTTTCATCCAGTATATACTAAATCTCATCTATAGCCGTATATACTAAATTCATCGTTGGAGTATGTACTGTTTTTTAAGTATCCGGTATGTAAGGATTTTTTAGTATTCAGTATATTAGTCGATATACTATTTTTCATCCGAGAACTGCTATAAAACGGGATCTCGTTGCAACGGGATAGACATATTATCTGTTCTCTTGCACGAGTATCACATGTATCAGGTCCTAGGTATCACAGATACCGGGTACCAGGTATCACAAGTATCATAGAAGGGTATCCTGTTCCAACGGAATCGATTGGTTAAGGAATATGTACTGAATTTTCAAGTACCAGTATATATTAATTCTCTCGGTTAGGTAGTATTTACTGCATTTTTCAAGTATATCGATCCAGTATACTGAATCACTTGTTGAAGCAGTATATACTACTTTTCTTATGGGATTCGGTATGTAGTATAGCCATAATTGATATATAATGTATATATATGTATGCATGTACCTCGTAGATTTGCTAAATAATTAACGAACTATACTAAATAATTGATTGAGTAGATAGATACCACTTTGTTTCACCGAATGGTATATACCAAAGCATCAAAAGAAGTATACTTGATGACAAATTGATAGTTTATTCAAAACAAAAGTAGTATATGTTATGATACTACTAAGTATATCATCAATATGCACAAAAAAATATCAATCCCAACTAGCTAGAGAAAATAGTGCATCGTCTTCATCGGCATGGAAACGGTAGTAATTAGCAGCTGGAACCGGCGCCTGGCAACGAGGAACGCCCGATGATGGTGGCCGCCATCATCTCCGCTTCTCCGATGGGTGGATGTGCTAACACGCTGCCATGCCGTCGCCGATTTTGAAAACACCCGGCCGCAGTAGTCGTACTCGTACATCCATGGGGCTCGCATCGCATCTGGGCCTAACTAATCATTCAATGGATGACTGCGTCCTGTTCTGAAATCAATAGAAAACAGAAGATTGCAAGTTCGATCTGCTGCATGCCATACAGAGATGGGAAAAAAAACATCCGTTCTGCAAGAAGTAAAGGGGGAAAAGGAGAAGGATACACCATTGATGGATCGCTGATTCGCTGCCATCGTCCGGGAGACGCCGCCGCCTCGGTCAGCCCCCATCGCCTGGACATGCATCGCCTCGGTCAGTCCATATGGATTACGTGTTCTTCTACAAGCTGCAGATGTAATTAGAAAAATGAACGAGATTCTACGGTTTACCGTCTACAAGCAAAGCAAATAAATTAGAAAGGTGATTAGGCACCTACGATGGCATCCTCATTCTCGACATAACTAGCTAGGAGCGCGTTGGCCCCTCGATCTGCTTGTGGCTCTTACCGTCGATTAGAAACTCCTTGGCCATACGCTATCGTCGGGAGGACGATGACCTCATCTATGAATCTGATCAGTGACGTCGCCTTCGCCTATGCACAGGACATACACCGGCCGCTTTTCGATCGATGGGACGGCCTGCCGACTTACGCTAGCGAATGACTTCGCCGCCTGGCTGGATGATGGGCAGCGCTGTGAGCCACCGTCGCATCCTGCGTACGCTTGCCGATGACGCGCCTGGGGACGACCATGACGCTGTGGACTATATGGTTGGCGCTGTGAGATACCCGCCGCCGTCGCCTCCTCCTCCGCCTGAGACCCGCCTAGCGATGACGATTTGGTATGGGACAGCCGTAAGCGAGCCGGCGCCGCTCGAGTACGTCGAATGGCAATGGATTTGTGCGGATGGTTTGCGAGATCCTAAAAGCATGGGATTATTAAGAACTGTTATGGGTTTTTTTTTCAAAAAAACAAAACGGGTTCGATCGGTAGTATGATCCGATAGGACGATTGATCGGAAATGGGTTTGATGGACGGTGGATCAGAGAGGGAGTACCATTTTCATATATATATATATATATATATATATATACACACGTATATGTATATAGACACATACATATACTAGCAGTGATACCCGTGCGTTGCAACGGATTCTAAATAACATTCATTGACATAAATTAAATTAAAATCCTAAACCATATATCACAATTGGACTAAATAAAATATAATCATAAAAATAACAACATAAAACAACAAAAATAAATTCTACTGGAACTATAATTCAATATCATAAAAGTAATATAACAAAATCCCTATTTTTTTCATTCAGCTATAAATAATTCAATATTATAAGTAATTACAACAATTTTTCATGGATCAAATAGTGCTAAAATTAATAATGTAAATGAAAAACAACTGAAATTAGCTAGACATTTTAAAACTTATTTTAGCTCATAGATGAAAATCCGATCCATTAATTTTGAACATGTAGTTATTTCATTGGTGAAAGGACCTTAATGTCGCCTAGAGGGGGAGTGAATAGGCGTTCCTAAAAATTATCACAACTTCATAGCATATTAGAATGATGAGAACTTTCGGTTCAAATAGGAACTTCCGATATGAGATTGGAAGTTCCGGTCTCAACCGAAAAATTCGGCGGATAATGGAATAAAACACTAGCTATGAACTTGTAGCTCAAATAAAGAAAATGTATATGAATCAAAAGGTGACAAATAAGGTATCTAAACAAGATATAAGGTCACCAACTAAATCAATTAAGCATGCAAGTAGATCGGGTAAAAATAAGCTCAAGCACAATATAAGAGAATGCACAAATGGGCAAACCAAGAGAGGAGACGCGTGATTTGTTTCCCGAAGTTCGGATCCACGGATCCTACGTCTCCGTTGAGGAGCCACAAGGGCCGGGCCTATTTCAACCCTTTCCTCACGAGATTGCACAAATGCACTCCTCGGTTTCACTCTTGATTTATTCCCTTGCGGAGGCGAAATCGAAGCCTTTCACAAACTTTCCGTGGCACACCACAACCTTGGGTGCTCACCGGCGACGTCTAGCCGTCTAGGAGACCTTAGTCCCCAAGAGTAACAAACACAATCGAAGATTTGCTTGCTATGAACTCGAGTGCTCAAAGTATGCAGTGAAGCTCACTAGCTCTCAACTTCTCAATCACTCAATCTAACTCTTTCCCCTTCTCAAATCCCTCTCACAAAGAGGCACCACAAAGGATGGAGTGAAGCTCACTAGCTCTCAACTCCTCACTCTCTCAATCCAACTCTCTCCCCTTCTCAAATCCCCCTCACAAAGAGGCACCACAAAGGTAGGGAAATAGGCATGGCTATTTGACTTTGGATGTGTCTAATATTCCCCAAGAGCAGCCGCAACTCAAAGGAGGGGTAGAGGAGTTTATATACCCGAGCCTCTCAAAAACTAGCCGTTGGAGGCTAAGACTGTAATTTTCGGATTTTCCGAAAAGCATTTTCAGACAAGTCCGAAAATCTACAGAAGCAAATCTCATATTCGCAGCCATTTTCGGAATGTCCGAAAATTTTCGGAGTTTCCGATAATTTTTCGGACTTTCCGAAAAGCGCAGAGTAAAACGACTATAACTTTTCTCTCGGGAGCCCGTTTTTTATGAACTTGGATTCTATGGAAAGCTCACTCAGAGGACTACCCAACTCAACAAAAAAAGGTCTAAAACCACTCAAAGGATAGGTTAAAGCTTGGGTTTCTCTCAAGGTAGCACTATGATAGATCCTTTGAGCACCGAGACATACACAAACACCTCGACGTTGCATCCCTCTTAATAGTACGGCATTCCTAAACTCAAATGTAAATAAGAAGAGAATTATACCATTAGGAATGCCTTTTTTTCATCTTTCTTTCATCGTCTTGAGGGACGCCAATGCCGATACCGTTTCACCATATATTCTTCAAATGATTGATGCGGTTACTTGTAGCTTCAAATGGTCTCGCATGGTCCATCATGACAAACCCATCACTCGCCCTTCACCACCGGATTTGGTTCTTCGGCGCCAAGCCCCTTGCTTGCCCTTCACCGCCGCATGGTCCATCGCGACTGAGCATCGCTTGCCCTTCACCGTCTTGCCATAATAGCCACTTTGTATCACACATCTTCAATATCTTCACTGTCATTCTTGGTATTGTTAGGTGTAATGATATCACTTGAGCATCAACACCTTTGTAATCCTTGGGACCTATTTCTTTCATTCAACTCAATAAAATTATTAGTCCCAATGATCCAGTTGTCAACCTCCACATGTTGACCAACCGATCGCATGTATAAAAGAATATGAATAAATGATGAGTATTAATCAACACCACAAGTGTCATATACTCAAATATATGTTAAAATGTAAAGATCCCAATTAAATGATGGTGAATAACTTGGATCGATTACATGCATAACTAAAGTATAGGATTTGCTCCCTCTAAATGTATGCATACAAAATATTTGTGTGAAGGAAGAGTATGCATAACAAGATATTAAATATTGAGAGCTTATCCTATACAAGAATAGAAGGCATTTATCAAATATAGACAATAAAATAAAAACATACCTTTATCACCTCCATGTTCTCAATGTAAAGAGACTAAACAAGATATGGCTCAAACAAAACATTAGTCTCACATGCTTATGTAATCACATGAAAATATTATACATTAATATATATCAATATGTGCACGGGTAGAAAGAGTGATACATATAGCTTGATCTCCATGCATTTCATCCCTGTGATTTAGGTACACCATCAATGAACGTTTCTCTCTCAACTCATATGAAGTCCAAAAATCACCTCTCACATATTCCACTTTCATATCCATATGAGACTAGTAGACAAAGAAATGCTTATAACAATGTTAGTCTCATATAATTGGATTTGTCATTAATCATCAAAACCAAATTAATGGCACTTGAACTTTCAATTGACATAAAATATAATTCTTTTGTTCTATTCATATTCCTATTGTCTCAATATTATGTGAGTGTAGCCCATGAACTGGCTAAATCTGTCATGCGTACATTCGGCTGTTTGGCGTATGCAGGCTCCCTCTTGCGTAACTAAGACACTAGCAAATGATTTTGTAATTAGATGAGTAATAAATAAAGCATTATCTTCCCCCAAAAAAATGTGAGTGGTCCAAGAGCAAGATTAGGTTACACCAAGAAGGAATAGTGTCTTCATCCATAGATGGTGAAGGTTGGCAACGAAGAAAATTAGAACAACATGAATACGACTGGCAACGATGTGGTACCAATAGAGATAGAAATGGCAACTACGAGCTCTGATGGTGAACACAACTGAATGAGTGCGTCAAAACGCGTTCCCAAACGAGGGATTTTCATTTTCCTTGAACGCGCAGGAAAAACGAAAGATGGATAAAAAACGAGTAACACTCTTTTCATCATCTTCCCTAGCCGAAACAAGAAAAATTAAAATTGTATTAAACTTTGGGTAATTAGGATTTTATATTCATATTTGAGCATAGACAAGTAGTAGTAAACAAATCGACACAAAGGAGAGACGCAAGGAACATATGTGGAGGCCCCACGTGAGCTCTCGTGTGGGTACCAGTGGTAAAAACCGGTATATTTATGAAGAAATAGGTACCGATGCCTTTAATTTTTAATTTGAAATAGGTATCAGTTAATTAAAAAACCAACACCTATAATATTATTTGTATATTCCTCTGTAACTCTGTAAATATTTCTATTTATACAATTTTAAACTGCTGGGCAAAGCTCTGGTAGTATTCCTGGTTAAAAAAAACTATAATATTATAGGTAAAACCGACAACCCTGAGAACCAAGCCTAGCCGAGCCGGGCTACTCGACCCACTCACGAGTGGATATGGAGAGGGAGGGGTGGAGTGGGCATCCTTATCCACTCCACTCACCTCCTCTCTCTCTCGACAACGTCGGCAAGCGAGCGGCGCCCTCCCTCACCGTGAGCGACGGCGCCCTCCCCACCGTGAGCGACGGCGCTCTCCCCACCGCGAGTAGTAGTGATGACGCCCTCCCACACCATGAGCGGAAGCGGCGGTGTCCTCCCCCATCGCTTGTAGCAGCAGCGAAAGCGCCCCCCTCTCACCCCTCAAGATCCGACGCCGCCCTCCCAACAACGGCGGCGGCAGTGACTTCCCTCGGGCGGATCCAGCGACGATTACGGCGTCAGCGGTTTCCCATGGTGGATCCGATGGCGATGGCGGCGTCAGCGGCTTCCTGCCCGTGGATTCGGTAGCAACGACGACGCTATCAACTTCCCGCGGGTGGATCCGCCGCGGGAAGCCGGCGATCCACTGGGGATGACAGCATCGCCGGCTTCCCACGACGGATCTGACAGTGATGGAGCCGCCGCGTATACAGCGGCGACGACGGCGCCTTCCCGCGGGCGGATCCAACGGTGACGATAGCGTCGGTGGCTTCTCAGCAATGTTTTTTAGTTATTCTTCTGGTTCCTTTTCTCTTTTCCTGGATTGTCAGATTGGATTTTGTATATATATATTTTATTTTTGTTTTATCTGTGCATGTGGGAACGCAGACGATTTGTATTAGTAGAAAATCGGACGTGCTTGTATGGACGAAAAATTAGCGCGGAATTGACGGACGAAAATGCGGTGACGATCAAAAAGTTATAACTTTTTTTTAAGTAGTGACGATTGAAAAGATAAGATATTTCCAATTTATGATTATATATAAACAATGGCCCTGTTTGAATCCGGAGGGCTATTAAATAGCCCTCCGGAATCTTGCTATTTAGGAGTATTAAACGTAGATTACTGTTAAAACCCATTCCATAACCCCTATGTTATTTTGCGAGACGAATCTAACGAGGTATATTAATCCATGATTTGCTACAGTGATGCTACAGTAAACAGTCGCTAATCATAGATCAATATACATCATTAGATTCGTCTCGCAAAATAATTTAGGGGTTATGGAATCAGTTTTGTCGGTAACCTACGTTTAATACTCCTAAATAGCAAGATTCCGGAGGACTATTTAATAGCTCGTAGGATCCAACCAAGCCAAACAAGGCTAATGTTGTGGCAGCAGTGATACGTGTAGGAGTCATGACGAATCCTTCTAGGTCCAAGAAAAAAAAGAGCAACAGAAAGAAGCTTTAAAAAAAAAAAAGAAGAAAACCTTATCCCTAATCCCCTCCAACCCTTCGACTTATCCTCCCAGCCGCTACCAACCACCCAGGCCACCGAGCACCACCCGTCCATCCCAATCTCGCTTCCACCGACCAAGCGAGTCGCCACCGGCTCGTTCCTCAGCCTCCGCTTCCGTCTTCTCTACTCCTCCTCCCATCCTCCATCCTGAGCGTGTCCTCTCCATCAAGCTCTACGGCGTCGTCGTTGGTCTCCGTGGCGGCGTCGAGCCCGCTGGTGTCGCCGAATGCGAAGCCCCGCGTGCAGCCGAAGCTCCCGCCGAAGACGAAGCTGACCACCATCACCTTTAGCCCCCACCACAAGCGTGACTACCAGGTCACCTGCACCAACACCGGCTGCCGCCCCTGCGTCGTCTCCTGCCCTTCCAACTGCCCCAACATGTGCCTCGTCGCTTGCGCCTACTGCCTCACCTTCTGCCCGCCTCGCGCTAGCCGCCCACGGTGCCTGTTGTCTGCACCGATGCCGGGAACACCGCAACGACGACGGTGAAGACGAGGAGAACACAGGCGACGGTGGCCATGGCAACTATGGATCTAGCACGGGGTGGCCAGCAAGGCGGAAGTTGGCGATGGGTGAACGGCAGCAAGCAAGATAAAGGCCAGAGACAACCCAATATTGAGGTCCCCCAGTAGCAGCAAGCCTAGGTAAATCGATCTTGGATGGATTGGAGTTCCCCGTTGATCCCTCTGGTGATTTTATTTTGGTGGATTAGAGTTCGATTCCGGAGTTCTTCCGTGCATCGCTCTGTTTGATTTTATTAGGATAGATTAGAGTGTAATTCTATCTACTTTATCTTTGCGAGTTTGGAAATTTGGAATCTATTTTATCTGGAATCTGGAACCATCGCTAGCTGCTGGTGTTAACGCCAAAAATTTGGTAAACCCGAAGTCATCATCATCGACCTTCAGAGGCTTGGAATCGACCGATGGGAGTTATAAAATCGCCAGCAGTTGTGTTCTTGGTGGAGTTGGATCAATTAAAGGAAATTTATTTAGATGAGTCCGAATTCAAAAGACGATGCAGCTTTGTCTGTTTTCTTTTATCTTTAGGAATGTATGTTTAGTATCCGATAAGCATTTTATGTTTTTCTTTTATCCTTAGTAAAGTCTTTTTCTTGTTCTACAAGGACTAGTATCTCCCCATTAGTATAAATATATACACCCGGGGTCATTATAAAATATCTCTTGATCAATACAACTACTCTGGGGGCATCGCCACCCTCTTTTCTGAGGTTTTTACTAATCATCCGGTGGAATTTGGCACCTGACGTGGGGTTGCATCGGTTTAGTTTGATCTCCGGCGAATGGGTAAGTCCTATGTTCCGCCGGGGTTGGTGAATTTATCGTCTACATCAGCGTCGTTCAAGGCTGCATCGCTCCGATCTCTTGGATCGCTCTGGTTTGGTTGATATATTTGCCTACCTGATATTTCAATTCTATCTCTAATTGCATTGTGTTTAGAGACGCATCGGTTTAGTTGGAACTGTCTCGGTTAGGTCTGATCCTCTATCTTAGCCGATATATCTCTACAATCACAATGTTATTCTGAATAGATTTGTTATATCCATCACATTAGACAGACCTATCGGCTCATCGAGTATTAGATTATCATATACAATCTCGTGCTGCATCGGTTAGGTTCGACCTACTAGATTGTTGTTGATAATATAAATCTTGTTAAGCCGATAGGTTCATGCTAATGTTTTATCGGGGTGCTAGCCGATAAGTTATCTGGACGTTGCATCGTCTTATAAGGATTGCATATACATATAAATTGGATTTAGCCAATGGCAACAAAGGTTTCATCGATCTATCTAATCTTATGGATTTTATAACATCATGCCTCCAGCCGATGTATGCTTTAACATTCGGATCAATATTTGTTCTCTCATATCATTGTTAGCCGATTGGTTTCCATTGGATTATATTGTTGTTATTTATCATCATCAACCGATCGCCTTTATATCATTATCTACATTGGACATATAGCCGATTGCTTAAAACCCTATCGCTATCGGCTGGTATCGACATCGGCTAGGATTGCTCCATCGCTTGTCAGCCGATCGGTTATTTGATCTACTATTTATATATCTTTTCAGTTGCAGGATTAAACTGATTGGCACGCTCGTATCTCATCAAGTCTTGGACCTGCACTGGAGCTAAGCAGATCTCCCAGGCCAGTGTGTATTTTTGGCGTCAACAGCGGGTTATGCACGCGAGACCGAGAAGACGCACCACGACGGACAAAACGGATTGTGATGATTGTAAAAATATGAATATATATATATATATATATATATATATATATATATATATATATATATATATATATATATATTACTCCCGTGCGTTGTACCGGGTGAAGTCTATTTTGATCCTATTATTGTTATATGGTTTAGTTAAGATGAAATTTACTGCGGGAGTTCACTTGGATATATATATTTTTAGAAAATCATGAGCTACAGTTAGGAGTCCGATCGTCTCAAGTTAGCATACGAGTTTTGTAAATATAAATAGATTTCTTATATGATTCCTTCTGAATTCCTAAAAGTGAACGATGTTAGAACCAAATCAAATACGGATATGTATTTTCAAAAGCAAACGAACTTAAAAACCGACTCATACACAGATGATGCACCAAAATACCGGTAAAAATATTTTTAATTTTTATAATAGTAGAGAAGAGATAGAGATAGAGAAGAGATACAGATTAAAATCAAAACATAGAATTAAAACTAACTCAAACACGAATGACGAACCGCGAAAACATCTTCAATTTGTATTTCCAAAAGCAAACAAATTTAAAAACCGACTCATACATGGATGACATACCAAAATACCGATAAAAACATCTTAAATTTTTATAATAGTAGAGATAGAGAAGATATATATATATATATATATATATTATAAAACCCAAGCTGAAAGATGCTAATAAAATTGGATGGAACCTCGTGCTTTGTCTTGTGGAATATATACATGTTAATCTTTTCTACTGACTTTTTTACATGCATGTTAATTTTTGCGATGCACTAGTATTTAGGGGTGAAAACGGATCAGATTCGGACGGATAATAGCTATACCATATCCTAAACCATTTTTTTTAAATGGATGCGGAGTGGGTGCGGATGATGTGCGGATACGGATGTGGAGTGGATTATTTCGGACGCCGGATTCGGTGCGGACTCGGTTCGGAAACAAACATAAAGTTGTCGGATGGCAAGTTTGTATTCAGTCCATATAATAAGAGGGCGCCAATACAATTAGCCATAATACGATGGCAAAATAACATCTAAACATGATCTCAGCTCTCTAGGAAAAACCAACCAAAACACATCAATAATATAATTTTGCTTAATATAACACATCCATAAAAATAATCCAACATACATCCATCACTGGTCATTGTCACTGCATTGCTTAAAATTTAAGGGCTTATTCGGATCACAGGATTGTAAAAACGTAGGAATAGAAAAATCATATAAATATGATAGGAATGCATATGTAAAACAGAGGATTGAAAAACACAGGAATTCTGTAGATAGGATTGATAAACATGTGTTCGGATAGACAGAGGAAAAACGCAGGAAATGGAAAAAATGAGGTAGGAGTGGATGTAAATTTTCTTTTGTTTCTCTATTGATTGCACAGGAAAGGAATGTTTCCTCTGATTTTCCTTTAGATTGATTCATATGAACCGAACGATAAGGAAAGGAAATATTTCCTATCTACAGTATTCCTCTGAAAATCCTCTAAAAATCCCTCAATCCGAAAAGGCCCTAAGAATGTAAGTCATCACTCAGTACGACATGCATGTAGCATACAACCTACAGGCATACAGAAGTACAGCACAACACACAACATAGTTTTTCCATAGGCATACAGGAGCACATCACACAGCATAGTTGTTCCATAGGCATACAGGCATACGGCAGATAGCAGTCAACAATGCACACAGGCACACACAGCCACACACCAACATGCCCTTCAGGTCTTCACACTTCTGGCGGTAGCGCTAGCAGCCTGCTGCCGGCGGCGGCGCCACCAGCCGAGCGGCCGGCGCGTGTTGGGGAGAGCAGAAGACCGAGGAGGAGCGGCCGCCGCGCTGGGTCGCCGTCGCGCCGTCACTCCCCTACGACTGAGGGCTGACAAGAGAGAGAGGGATCTGGGGGAGGAGAGGAAATATTAGGCTACGGTTAGAATAGATGGGCCTGAAAGTTGTTGTGTGGCCTGAAAGTTGCGGATTATCCGCCAAATACTATATCGGATAATCCGATTAAAAAATTGGATAATCCGTATCCGTCGGATATCGTTGATACCATATCCGCATCCGTATCCGGCCGAATATCTAACAACCCTTACCATATCCTCACATCGGATGGATTCGGAGCAGATCGGATCGGATAATATCCGCTCTGTTTTCACCCCTACTGGTATTTACTACGCTTACATGTTGAGCTATCAGATTATAAACCCGTGCTAGCATGCCCACAGACTTATCAGGTATAGAACGGTCGCCCTGAAAGTCTGAAACCATGGGAGCTGTGGTTTTTTGGCCGATCCCAGACCAGCATCAATACTCCCAAAGTCCCATACTCCAGAGGAGGCAGGCACCCACAGAACTTTCGTTGCCGACTGCGGCTGCAACCGGAATGTAGCCGGCCTGTGTGCTACTTCCAGCCACAAGCAGAGGCCGCGACATTAATCTCACAGGAAATCTAGTCGTCTAGTAACTCTACTGCCAAATCTTGATATCTTGAAAGCTTTCAATTCAGCTTGCAATATATCAATACCTGTTCCCCTTTCCTAATTCCTACCCTTCCTCCTCGTGCTACAGCCCTGCCGTTCTTTGGGATGATGATGATGGTGAGATTGCCTGCTATGTTCGTGATCTGCATCTTGGCTGTTCCGCTGCTGCCAGCGCTCGGCTCGGAGCCGCCGTCGACACCGGTGCCGACCGTTGGCGTGACGGCGGCGAGCCACCTCGTCGGCTCCGGTGGCCACAGCTACTTGGACGTCAGGTTGTTGCTCTATGCCTCTATGCATCATTATTAGTATTATTCCATTCTCGGTGTGTCCATAAGTAAGTTAATTGATTAGCTAATGGCGCATTGCGACCCACCAATCTCGAAATGGACCTGCAAGCCAAGCGAATCTTGAACCCTTCGCCATAAGCTTCTGTTATTTTTTCGTCCCAAATTTCCAGTTCAGGCTTCTGCACATGCGGATTTCGTTTGCGGTTACCTTGATTCTGACATAACCCAGTAATAGGATCTGCTGCCAAGCTAGATTACAACCAGTTTCTTGATTTGACCACACTAGAATTAATCATCTCGTAAGGAATGCAGACGATTTGCCGCCTATGATGAATATGTTACCCTTCTCAACCCATCCACCGATTTTTCTTAAAAAAAATGGTATATCCACTGATTTCTATGAATTGAAGGACTATCTAGACCGTTTTATTTTTTAACCAACTGCCGTTCAACAGGACAGAAGAGGAATTCAAGAAGGGACATGTGGAGAATTCTCTTAATGTGCCATTCCTCTTCTTTACCCCTCAAGGCAAGATTCCTTAACTTGCTTCCCTAGTTTTGTCCTGCCCTTCATTATACATATTTTCTAAGAAAAAAAGATATATCAAGAATTCTTCTTCCAGGAAAAGAAAACTGCACACTTTAAGAGTGATATGCCATTGTTAGCCTGAATTGTATTACTGATTTAACCTGTTATTGAATCATCAGGGAAGGAAAAGAACACAAAGTTCATAGAGCAGGTGGCATTGCATTATGATAAGGAGGACAACATAATTGTGGTATTACTTATGATTTGTCTATACATATTTAACTAGTAATATATAAGACAAAATATCTGGTTTTATATTTATGGACCTTCATTTAGTTTGTGATTACGTTTGTCCATTTTTTCAAGGGTTGCCTAAGTGGAGTAAGATCTGAACTAGCATCTGCCGATCTCATAGCAGCCGTAAGACCTCTCCCCCCTTGAGCGCTCCTGTTGTTTCTAAATCTGATTTATATATTTTAACTTAGGACTTTGATATTCATAAAATTTTGTAGTAACTTTTTTTAGATAATGGGAAATTGTTAGAGCAAGTAAGTACGATACTTTTTCTCCTGTGTCCCTCAATTTAAGTAGGTTAAACATTGTCTGACGGGTGAAAGACTTGAATAGGTGAACATAGCATTGAATTTGGTGGATAATAATAGTGTTTTATATGCATGAAAAAGATAGAATTTGTATGTCAGGCGATTTGCCTAATGCAATCCTAATTTTACTCCTAAAATTACATTTGAGCAATTTGTGTACTGAATATTAGAATTTTGCTCCCAACTAAACTTTAATTCCGGTATTGTTCTTATTTTGTTATGTACAGGTTCTTGGATACTGTGACTGTGACCATCGTACAATCAAATCGATATAAAAACACTAATGTTAATAGTAAATTAGAATTGAACGAAATGCACGCGAAGTTAGCGTAGGCCATGAGAGATGGATTGTGGTTTCTCACATAATAAAGAGTTAATTTAATCCATGCCATTATAATCAGCAGCACCTCTTAAACAGTTTGGTAAAGGAATAAGTTCATTTTACACCCAGCTTTAAAATGGCTTATTTAACATATTTGTGTTATGTAGTACTCCCTCTGATCAAGATTACATGACGTTTCCGACAGCCAAAACCTATTAAGCGCAATTCATTTTGTTTGTTCAAAGCATCAAATAATATCGTCCGGAGGTAGTACTATGACAAACATACCTTGGAGAAAATTTCCTACTTGTATTAATAAAGGAGGAACTTGAGTGTGTATTTACAAGGTATGCCCAGGACACGTGCACAAAAATACTGTTCTCACAAAGTCTGCTTCTTGGTCGCTGCCACTACTCTCTCTGTGATATCCACATTTTTTTTCTGAAAGAATAAATTAGGGTGCACATAAGCTTTCATATTTAACAGTCCCCTTTTTCAGATTCAGTATCTCGATCATTCCCTTGTTAGTTTCCTTTGTTTATGTCTCAAACATTTGATATGGAAACAGGGATTCAAAAATGTAAAGAACATGGAAGGAGGTTACATGGCATGGGTGGAAAATGGCCTTGCGGTGAATAAACCTCTAGTGCAAGAAGAGCTCTAGTTTCAGTTATTGTATTTTTAGATAATGACTTTCAGTTATTGTATGACTGGGTGTTAATTTGATTTGTAGAAAGGAAAGGTATAAGAAAACAATGTTATATTATTCCCCAAGTAGAATATTTTATTTAGTTTGATATAAAGCAATTGTTACTATGACTCTTGCTACTCCTAGTCCTATGAGTTTGAATTCTTTCTCTATAATATTAGCCAGCACATGCATCGACTGCAATAAACCTTTCTTCAGAGCCAAAACCATGTGACATGTTCCATGCATTGCATTTTAGGGTACTATTTAAAGATAATACGTTGATATTTGAGTAATTCAGAAATCTGATAGCAAGAGAAAACAGTTGAAATACCCTCGTTTTATCTTAGAGTCCCAGTCCGGTGTTCTTTACCTATAGTAGAAAAAAAATCTGAACCATTAATCTCATTTGATCGAAAGGTTTGATCGAAAGGTTTAGATCTATTTCTAGTACCATCACACTTAAGAATTGTGGAGGTGTATTTTTATTCAGAGAAAGAGAAAATTATTTGCGGAGGGGTATTTTCGTCCTATCCACCAAATCGCGCATCTAGAGCCAACGCGGAGAGAACCCCGTGGCCCTGCCTCGCGACTCCTCCCTACCGCCGCCATCACTGCCTTGGACGACCTCATCTGCTCCACCGCCCTCGGGGCCTCCTACTCCCTTGCCTCCGCTGCACTCGCCGCCTCAGCCGTCCTCGACGACCTTGCATCTCCGTCCGGGATCGCTAGAGCTCCGCCCTCTCCCGCCGCTCCCCCGCGTCGGCCCACCTTCCGGCGAGTTCGCCTCTCGGATCTTCGCCTCCGACCCCAGCACCACGCCACCCGTCGCCGTTGAGGCCTCGTCCTCCTCGCTATCCCCTTCCTCGCCGTCGGCCTCCTCCCCCACGCTTGGCTCCGGCTAGTGGCGGAGGCAGCGTGGGGGCAGGGGAGCCCCCAAATAAAATATTAGAGCCTCATTAAGACCCCCCTAAAATTTAAATCCATATGGGCTAAAATAGACTTTGTCTAAAATTGTTATAAGGCCTAAAAGGCTGAAGAGCCTCCACTATAATTTTATCCTTGCTCCGCCACTGGCTGCAGCCCCGTCTATCTCCACGTGCCGTTGATCCCGCAGGCCACAGCCGCGTGGGCGAGCCCCCAATCCATCGCCCCCCAAGCGGAGCCCGCAGCCTCCGAAGCCAATGGCTACCAATCTCTCGACCTCCGAATCATCATCCAAGACTCCTCTTGCTGGCTATAGTGCTACTCTTCGACGGATTAGCTGACACAAGAAGACTCTTGTTCTTCTTTGCAGGTCAGATTTGATTTGTTTTTCTTGCTGCTTGCAGGTTTGGAACTCGAACATATGTACTTAATCTTCTTTTTTGTTGGCCTCTAGTTCTCGAATAGTTTTTATGCTTGTCTGCTTAAGTTCTGCAGTTCTTGGTCATAATTTTTCCTCCTAGAAGAAGGGACTATTAGTTTTCTTTTGCTTGAAAATATTGGCGATTTTGTAAGTATGAGTCTGAATTTGAGCGAGCATCACATAAAACAGCAGTGAATCCTTTGAAGGATGTTTATTAATCTCCAGAGACACCCCTGTTCATATACTAGGGTATTTAGCAGAACAATATCAGTATATTACCATCTTCTTTGCTGCTCAGTTTTTATGGTACATTGCTGGCCACCTAATCTACCCTCGCCAGCAGATCTGCAGGTGGCAGATGCTCACAACTTATCTGAGTTCGTTGTAGTTGCCTAAAAATTTGATCACATGAAAATCTACCCCTTTTGTAGATCACCAATCAATTGCTAAAGAGAGGTGTAGCTCAAGATGGCATTGGTATAATAATTGTTTCTTCTCGGTCTTGATTATCATTATCACCTGTTTCAATGATCTGAATACTTCAAGAATTTCTTGGACACCATGAATCAATTCGTGGGTTGTGGCTCCTCTTTCAGTTCAGAACACTTACAATTTTGACTGTAATTTGTGTAAGGTTTATTACTAAATCTGTCCTGATCACAGCGGGAGTCAAGTTCAAGGCCAGTAAACTGAATTCGGAGCAAGTGAGCTTGTTCAGAATGGCTGAGCGTGACAAGGTGGACAAGCTATTAGAGCAAGTTTAATAGTATAGCCAACTATTAGCTCTAAATCATTTATAGTTAATATAATAGCCAATTTATACAATAATTGCTTACTACACTATTAATACATGGTCCCACCTGTCATATACACATTACGTTTTGGAGTTTGTGCTGCAGCTAGCTATAGATCTATAGCCCGCTGCTCTTCTCTCTATTTTTTTATCTCTTTAAAATATCTTTATAGCTGACTTATAGTCTATTATTGTACCTGCTCTTAGATCACTACGTCATAAATGCTTGAGAGATTCCAAGTGTGCTATGTTCTGTAATCCTGTGAATTCATTATCTCAAGATGGCTTTGGCTTGTTACAGACAGCCGTTTTTTTTCAGAACTATAGCTATCAACAGTTTTTTTTTCTTTAGAACTACAGCTTATTAACAGCTTATGGTTTTGAAAGTGTCCATCTGTGTATATCATCGTTTTTTTCAATGTATATTACTTGTTGTGATTGCAATTGTAAAGTCTACAAGAAAAACATACCGGATTATTCTTCCATTGCCTTGTATCAGTCCTTACTAGATTGGAGTGTTTCGATTTGTCCATCGTGTGTAATATATTCAGATATATAACTAGTGTATTTAAAATTTATATGAATCAAGCTGAATGGAAACCAAATACCTACAGCAAGAAACAGTACATCTTGGAACGTGATGCACAAGCGCCGGCGGCGGCCGGACTCACGATCTGCTTTTCTTCTTTTTTTTTTCCTGTGCTCTCCTTTTTGATTGATGAGGAAGTGGCAACTCTGCTGTTCGATAGAGAGGGAGCAAGCGACGCTGACCGTAGGACTCACAATGAGAAAAAATTAAAGTGTCTAATTCACCACAATGAGAAAAAAATTTAAGTGTCTAATTTACCCCTATTCTGTCTAAGGCTATGTTTAGTTCCCACTAAAATTGGAAGTTTGGCTGAAATTGAAACGATATGACGGAAAAATTTGAAGTTTGTGTGTATAGAAAAGTTTTGATGTGATGGAAAAATTAGAAGTTTGAAGAAAAAATTTGCAACTAAACACGGCCTAAGTACTTTATTAATCTATCCTTAGAAATAAACGGTTCAGATTAATTCTACTAGTAGCATAATACTACCGGTAGATATCACCGGAGCGTCTCTCTTTTATCTTAAAACATCCTTTTTGTTTTATTTATAAAATATTGAACAATATTATAATATTAACTTGTGTAACAGATCTTCCTATACGATTTTCATACATCCAACCTAAATATTTTTAAATAAATACTACATGTTTAAAAATTTCAAAAGTTTGAGTTAGGAGATGTTAAAGAGCTTTGCCGTTTGCCACTGTTAAGGGCGTGGCAACAATATTTGAACACTCAGGTAGTGTTCTTATCTCATTTTATCTCGGTTTTTGTTAACTTGTTTTTTGAAACTAATTTAAGCTGCTCGTGTTGTAAAAAGAAAAATCTATTTGAAAGTTACTTTAAAATATCAAATATATCTAATTTTTAAGTTTATAGTAATTGAAACTTAATTAACTATACGTTACTAGTTTCTCGTTTTACATGCAGCTTTTAAACGAACATGACCTCAGTAGCGAAATCTCTGCCACACCATGGTCTTTTGACTTGCTTGGTAATCCTGCCACATCAATGAGATTGTTGATTCTGGGTATGAGAATAAACTTCGTGAGGATTTATTCTGAAAATTTTATTAACAAAGGTATTAAAAAATTCGCCGTGCTATAATTCAAGCTATCTCAGAGGTCGCCCAAGTCCCCAGAGCCATCGTCCTATCCAAATTTTACATTGGTTTTCCAATTTTGTTAACAACGCATAATCGTACTAAGTCAAAAGATACTACATCGTCCTCAGGGACCTTGCTCCGTCCAGTCCAGTGCAAAAAGAAAAGCTATAGTTTTCAAGGAATTCAAAGGGTAGAGAACACAGGTAGCTCAAGCTAGCTAGGTCACATTATTTTCCGAAAAAAAAAGTTGCAAGTTCACGAAGGGTGGAAGAAAGGAATCTTACAGTGGTATGATGGTGTTCATGCCTTTCTTGCCTTCCATGTTTCTTAAGCATAACTTCTCCCTGGCAAATGTTCTTTCTCCTCTATTTTCCATCTCCAACTATGTCAGCAAAAGAAATCTTTGTCCGTGGAGGCAAGCTTATGTTCTCATCTATAAATTCATGTTCATCAACACCCAGCCATTCACAACTTCACAAGCATTCTTTCCTAATTTTCTTTCCCTGCTTTGTTCTTGTGTCTTCTCCATCTACTTCCAAGTCTGGTGGTCTCTTTTGCCATGGCATCCAAGCTGAGTTTCAAGCGAATGGACAGCATTGCCGAGACAATGCCAGATGCCCTACGACAAAGCCGGTACCAGATGAAGAGATGCTTCCAAAGGTACCGTAAATTGTGAATTAAATCTTTGATGGAATGCATTTCAGTTTTTTGTCCGTGTCAGCCAAAGCCTGGCAGAGGAATTTTATTCCTGTGGTTGAGACTTGCTTTTTTATTTTCAATGGAAATAGGTTGATGCATCAGTCCATACCAGCATATTCTAATAAGGGGGTACTTAATTAATGGCCCTTATGCATTTCCATTATAAGAACTAATAAGAAAGAACATTCATACATTTGTAATTAGGACGATGCTGCATAAAAACATGTAAAGCATATCTAAATTAGCTAGAGACTAATCAAATAGTGTAAGCACCTG